AAAGAAAATACGATTCTACCAAATCTCCTATCTACCTACTCCAGGACTTCTGTGAGGATCAAATGAGATGAGGCATGGGAAATCGCTTCACAAACATTTGGTTAAACTGTAAAATGTTTGCACCTGGCTATAAAGCAAGTTGAGTTCCTGGGCTGAAGAAACTCCAAGGAGGCTAGTCCTTGGGAGAGAGGAAGGGAGAGAGGAAGCCAGGTGTTGCTATGTGAAGTCATTACCTACTGAAGTCATTATCTGGCACCCACAGCCACTGTTTCAAGGCTGGGCTGGGCTGTGGGCCGCATTTTGCGCCATAGGGTCTTGGCAGCATTGGCTGCGATCTGGTGGGCTGTCACTCTGGGGTGGTCGTGGGGCCTGTGTCACACTGGGGGAAGCTGAGTGTTGGTTTGTTGGCACCAGGTCCGTGGTGCCGTTTATTTATAGAGGGCCAGTGCACATCATGGCAGCTCCTGCATTGAGCGTCTTCCCCCTGGTGGTCAGTGTGCATCATAGCTACCAGTCAGGCGATAGACACTTAGCCTTATCTACACTAATAAAAGAAAAAGATGCAAATTGACCATACCCCCAAACGCTTCCCATTGGTTAATCAGCAAGATATGCAAATTAACTGCCAACCAAGATGGCAGCCGGCAGCCAGGCAGCTGAAGCGAACAGGAGGCTTGCTTGCTCCAGTGACGGAGGAAGCCAACGTTCCTGGCCTGCGGCAGCCCAGCTCTGAGCTCCGGATGCAACAATGTTTCAATTATAGAAGCTAAACAAAGCCCAGATAGCTGCTTTCAGCCGTCAGTGGGCTCAGAGCTTAGAGCGCCAGTGATGGCAACAGAGTTTCAATTATAGAATCTAAACAAAGCCCAGATAACCTGCTTTCAACAGCCGAGGCCTCAAGCTGGAGCCGGCCTCAGAGCTAAAGCCGACTCTCAGCTCCAGTGACAGCCACAGAAGGTAAATAAATCCCAGAATAAAAAAGAAAAAAAAGAAAAAAAAGGAGAGGTTGGGACCTTCAGTCACCCACCAGCCTGAAAACGGCCCTCAGCCCCTCACCCAGACTGGCCAGGCACCCCAGTGGGGACCCCTACCCTAAAGGGGGTGCGGGCAGCCTAAAAACAGCCCTCAGCCCCTCACCCAGACTGGCCAGGCACCCCAGTGGGGACCGCCCCCCGAAGCCTCAGCAGCCGGTCTTGCGGCCTGGGAACTGCCCATCAGCGGTCCAAGCTGCAAGACAAGGCTCGTCCCCAGAAGCCTCAGCAGCTGGTCTTGCCTTGTGGCCTGGGAACTGCCCATCAGCGGGTCAGCACTGCAAGGCAAGGCCCGCTCCCAGCAGCCGGTCTTGCCTTGCGCCCTGGGAACCACAAATCAGCGGGTCCGGGCTGCAAGGCAAGGCCCTCCCCCAGCAGTGGGTCTTGCCTTGGGGCCCGGGAACCGCCCATCAGCGGATCCTGGCTGCAAGGCAAGGCCCGACCCGAGAAGCCCCAGCTACTTTAAAAATAGAAGGATCTCCTTTTGAACCAATCTGTTTAGATTCAGGATTAGTAAAACAGTATGGAACTAATGAAATACAGTGATAGGAATTAGGAAGTGTGACACTGATGGTTCTGGGCATGTGAAGAGTGAGGGACAGAAGGGTACACACGGTCTTCCCTTCAGTTCTGCTGGAGAGATGAGCTCTGAGGGCCGGAGCTGCTCCATGCCCAGAGGAGGCGGGTGTGGTCAGTGGCTCTGTTTCAGAACTTCCTGCCAACAGAGACCTTACCCGACCCACAGGAACCTTTTTACTCCAGAAAACAGAAACAGCCAGTTCCCAATGGGCATGGGAAAACCAGCGTACCCTCCTGTGCACAGTGTCCTGATGGAGTGATGGGGGAGGTGGGCGAGGGGAGCAGTGCAGAGTTGTTAGGCAGCTGGAGTGGGAGTGGAAATGCCATGAAATGTCCACAGTCCTGGCTGTGCCCACGGCCTGGGCGGTTCCTCCAGGCACTGGCTGAAGGATTAGGGCTGATTCTCTCAGGAAGGGAATATTCCATGGGTGAAAGATTTACAGGCTCAGGGTGGGCCGTGTGTTAGTTGGGGCAAATCCCTCAGCATTCCTGCTGCCAAGCCCTCAAAGGAATGAGGCAGAGGCACCCCTCATCCCCAAGACCCCTTCGTGGACATTTTAGCATCTACGTGATTTTTAATCCCTTCAGGGAGACTTTCTATCCTGCAGTCCCATCCCACCCCACTGTTGCCATTTGTCTGCCAGCTGGGTCGAGCATCAAGGGGAAAGGGGGTTAATACTCACTGAAAGACTACTGATCCTACCGGGAAACCAACCTATTTACTGTACTGTTGTAAATATCATACCCTTTATATCCGGTATACTGGCTTCTTTTAAATAAATTGAAATGTCTTAGAAAAAAAGAAGAAAAAAAGGCAAGGCAGGGCAGGACCCAGAAGACCCAGAAGCCACCTGATATGGTAGTAACTCTATCAGTAAACACTCTGAAAGTCAGTGGCATAAATGCACCAATTAAAGGACAGATTATGAGGGTGAATCAAAAACAAAACCCACTTTAAATATAAAGACACATACAGATTAAAAGTAAATGAATTAAGCTGCAGCCTGTTTTGCTCAGTGGATAGAGCATTAGCCCGTGGACTAAAGGGTCCCAGGTTCGATTCCAGTCAAGGGCATGTACCTCAGTTGCTGGCTTGATCCCCAGTCCCTATCAGAGCATGTGCAGGAGGCAACCAATCAATGTGTCTCTCCCTTTCCCTTCACTCTCTCTAAAATTCAATGGAAAAATATCCTTGGGTGAAGATTAACAAAAACAAAGTAAATGGATTAAGTAACATTAAAGAGATTATAAGAAAAATATATTCCAAATTCTGTTAGTTGTATAATGGTTATGTTTAAATTATTAACACCTAAGAAATTGGGTGAAGGGTACATATAATATGCTGTAATATTTTATAGTTTTTTTAAATGTATGAGATTATTTCAAATTAAAATATTAAAAAATTTAAAAATTAATAAAATATTAATTGAAATGTATCTGCATTACATGAAAAATCTCCTAATTGCTTCTAGCATAATTTGCTAAATTGCGCTAAAATTTACAAGGGTTCAATTAGAAAATATCTTAATTCTAAATGATATAATAGAAAATACATAATAGTGCAGTTATAAGCACTTATCTGAAAATACAAATTTAAAGAAGTGAATTTAAAGAAGGGATTAACCAAAGAAAATATATGCACAACCCATGGACACAGACAACAGTATGGTGATGGCCCGAGAGAAGTGGGGGGCAAGAGCTGGATAGAGGGGGCAAAAGGGGGGAAATAGGGACATCCTATATAATAATAATAAAAGGCTAATATGCACATTGACTGAACGACAGAATGACCGGTTGCTATGATGTGCACTGGCCACCAGGGGGCAGATGCTCAATGCAGGAGCTGCCCCCTGGTGGTCAGTGCACTTCCATATGGGGAGTGCCACTCAGCCAGAAGCTGGCTCATGGCTGGCCAGCGCAGTGGTGGTGCCAGGAGCCTCTCCCACCTCCGTGGCAGCACTAAAAATGTCCAACTAACGGTTTAGACCTGATCCCTTGGGGGCCTAAGCCTTTAGTTGGACATCCCCAAGGGCTCCCTGGCTGCTAGAAGGACGTCTGACTGCAAGGTTAGGCCTGATACCCTAGGAAGTGGGCCTAAGTCGACAGGTGGACATCCCCCAAGGGGTCCTGGACTGTGAATGGGCGCAGGCTGGGCTGAGGGACCTCCCCACCCCCCGAGTGCACACATTTTTGTGTACTGGGCCTCTAGTATATATATATTAGAGGCCCGATGCACAAAAATGTGTGCACTGTGAGGGGCGGTCCCTCAGCCCAATGTGTGCCCTCTCACAGTCTGGGACCCCTTGGGAGATAACCACCTCGGGTTACAGACGGCAGGCCTAATCCCGCGGGGCGGGCAGCGTCTGGTGCTGCCTGCCCTGCCTCCCCGGGTTGCAGATGGCAGGCCTGGATCCCACACTGCCTGTCCCGCTGCCCCAGGTCGCACATGGGAGGCTCGGATAGTGGCGGAGTGGGCGGGGGCTCGCGCTGTCCTGCCCTGCCTGCAGTATGCAAATTTAATGGCCATCTTTGTTGGGTTAATTTGCATACTCTTCTGATTGGCTGATGGGCATAGTGAAGGTACGGTCAATTAGCATCTTTGTTTTTTATTAGTGTAGATAAATATTACTCTGAGAATGAAGGTAAAGAGTATCATTGTTTATATAACAAGAATTTTCATTTCAATGAGAAAACATGAGTATGAATATATACAAGTGCATGCCACTTAAATGTATCATTGTTTAGTGATAATAAATACTATTTTAACATTAAGTTTTAAATGAAACAATTAACCTTTAGAGAAAAATCTTCCAAGTTTAGCTTCTAGCAAGCAGTATTATGACAAGTAGAAGATAGTTGTTTCATCTGGGACTGCATTTCAAAACACATTCAAGCTTCTTTGGCTAACCATATAGAATTTTGGATCACTAATATTGATAACATGTTCCGAGTGTACACCTTGCATACACTTGCACACACACACATTTATTCTCATTCTTTTTTAAAAATCCTCACCCAAGGATATGCTTATTAATTTTACAGCGAGGGGAAAAAGAGGAGGGGGGAGAGAGAGAGAGAAACATCAGTGTGAGAGAGAACGCTGATGAGCTGTACATGCCCCAACTGGGAATGGACCTGCAACCTAGGTATGTGCCCTAACCCCAGAGCATAACCTGCAACCTTATATGTACGAGGCTCCAACCAAGTTACACCGGCCATTGTTATTCTCCTGGCTGCACCCCTCCCCACGTTTCTCTGTCTCCCCCTCTCCTTTTCTCCATCTATAGAAATATAGTCATATGGAGAGACAGAGAGTATATGGTAAATAGTAGACACTAAAAATTGTTTGTGAAATTTAATAAAAGACATAAAAGTCATGGAAACACTTACTTCATCAGCCACCATGCACCTGGAAAAAAGAAAAACAAAACGAAATTAATTTCTTAATTATCAAAGTCAACCATTTAAAAGTTCTGATTAAGTAGCTTGCCACAAAATAGTTTACGGATGATAAAGTACTACGCCGGAGACAGGTGTCTGTATGTGTGCCTGAGAACAGGGGCCAGTGCTGACTTGATGAGACTCTCTGTTTGTCAACGGCATATGACTATGTGGGCTTGTCACAGCCTCAGCTGCACTGTTCGCCACTGCCCACCATGGAGACAGCTACAGTGACCCTTCAGAAATGTGAGCAAAATGGCAAGTGACTGTACCAATGAGTTCTGTCCTCCTTACCATCAAACCTTAAAATGGTCTTCCCTACAGATAAGAATACTGTATTAAAGTACAAGAAAATAAATGTCAAGAAAAAGTTCCTACTTCAAGAAAATAAATGTCAAGAAAAAGTTCCTACTTCTATTAGTTTCTTCCTTTTTCACCAATGGTCTTGACATTATATAATTTTATAAGGTTTATTTTAACATAAAACACAAATTAAAAATTTGATAATAAATATATTATCAAGGAATAAGTTACAGGTAAAATGGAATTTTGTTCTTAAAAAGAAAAAAACATGTCAGGTTACCTAATAAGTATTTTTATGGGAAAATAAGATAAAAATATTTTAACTGAAATTTAAAGCATATGCAAGAATATAAAGTTTATTACATTTTTTACACAGAAGACTAAAAGTAGAAATGAAAAGAGCAATACTTTGAGATTCATGATTATTTCTGAAAAATTCATGTGTTTGCCTCCTTTTTTCATTTTAAAACCCAACTCAAATTTGGTGAAGATGCCATTTATTTTAAGTGTATATTATTTGTTGAGCGTCTACTATTTACCCAGCACTGTTCTAAGTGCTAAAGATGTAGCAGTGAATTAAAGTCATTCCCTCATAGAGGTTGCCTGGAAGGAGATAATACACAACCATATGGTTCCAGTGGTGACGGTTCTATTAAAAACACTAAAAGAAGGTAAGGCAGAATAAGGAATATAGGGGAAAATACATTTCATAGAGTGGTCAGGAACAGACTTTATGTTAGGCAAGTTGGACAGATTTGAGCAAGTCATACATTTAATGAGAAAGGGAATGATGAGAAAATGTGGAGGAAGGTTCTTCTCAACAAAGTGATCAGCAAGACCAAAGATCCTGAGATGAGATAGTTATAATATCAGTTAAAAGGATAAGGAAGCTAATGTGAGTGAAGTGCAGTGAGATGAAAACAGTAGTAATATTACTACTATTGATAATAATGTTGGAAGGCAGTTAGGCTCCTGACGCTGACGGACCTTATAAGCAATGACATAGAGTTTGGATTTTCTTTGAATCCTTTGGAAAGAAGCAACATACTACCTTTTTAAAAAGACTGCTGTTGCTTATCTATATACTAGTACAGTGGGGCCTTGACTTATGAGTGTCCCGATTAATGAGTTTTTCGAGATACGAGCCGTCTCTTGGCCGATTTTTTGCTTTGAGTTGCGAGCTAAAATTTGGGTTACGAGCCAGCTTCAGATACCCCACCGCTAGTTGGTGCAGCGAACGTCACAGTGAACACAACATCAGCCCAGCATTTCAATTCATTGTAATGGTAAAAATTGATTTGACATATGAGTAATTTGAGTTACTAGCTCCATCATGGAACGAATTAAACTCATAAGTCAAGGCCTCACTGTATATAAAAGCCAAGCAACTGGAACAGTGGAACGACCAGAACAACTGGAACTATCAGTTACTATGAGGCATACTGCAGCGACCAATTGGCCTGATATGGGCCCCGACTGGCCCCCCCCAACCACCTGTGGTCCCTCCCCCTGGCCAACCCCACCTCCGATCGGCCCCCATCAGGGCGGGCCAGCCAGAACCCACCCATGCACGAATTCGTGCACTGGGCCTCTAGTAGAGAATAAACTGTATAAGGCAAGAGCAGAAGCATAGAGAGCGGTCAGGAGGCATCTGCAGTAGACCAGGAAAGAAACAATGTATGAATGAGTGGTAGAGGTGGAAGTGGTGAGAAGTGGTCAGTTTAGGTACTTTTAGAACAGCGGTTCTCAACCTGTGGGTCGTGACCCCTTTGGGGGTCAAACGACCCTTTCACAGGGGTCGCCTAAGACCATAGGAAAACACATATATAATTATTGTTTTTGTGATTAATCACTATGCTTTAATTATGTTCAATTTGTAACAATGAAACTGGGGGTCACCACAACATGAGGAACTGTATTAAAGGGTCGCGGCATTAGGAAAGTTGAGAACCACTGTTTTAGAAAGTACAGCCACTGGGGCTTGATGATCATTTGGGATGGGAATGTAAAAATAAGAGAGAAAAGTTAAGAATGAATGTGAAGGTATTGGCTCAAGCAATTAACTATGAAAATGGTGGTGATGCCATTCACTGAGACAGGAAAGGCTGGGAGAGAAGTAGGTCTGGGGACAACCACCAAAAAAGTTCAGTTTGGCCTTGGCCGGGTGGCTCAGTTAGTTGAGCATTGTTCTATACACCAAAAGGTTGTGGATTCGATTCCTGGTCAGGGCACATACCCAGGTTGCAGGTTTGATCCCAAGTCGGGGTATGTGTGGGCAGCAACCGATCGATGTTTCTCTCTCTTTCCCTCATCTCTCTAAAATCAAGGATTAATTGGTGAGGATTAGTGGGAGAGGATATATACTAGTATAAAGTTTTGTTTGGACATTAACCTTTGTGGTATTCATTAGATATCCAACTTGAACTATTAAGTAGGATATGTGAGTCAGGGGAATGGTAGGGACTAGAGATATAATAAATGAGGGTCATCAGAATATAAATGATAATTGGAATGAGTGAGGATACAGGATATTCTGAAACTTGACTGTGGCTTGTTCCCATCTATGTCCAACTCCATGGTCCTTAACTTTTTAAAATTAGGCCGCTGCTGAGACCTGCTGGATAGTGCTTGCGGTAGGGTAACATCAGAGTCAACTGGAACACAGCTAAATTGCCTGTGAGTGGCTAACCAACTGAAAAGCAGCATCGGCCCTGGGCAAAAGCTGAGGGCTGGAATAGACGAATCACTGGAACAGATGGGCTTTCAGGTACCTTGAGTCCCCCGTGACAATGACCTTCCATCTCTCTGAATGTGCTGGATTTTCCTAACGGAGACAGGTGGGTCTTCCTACTTCGGAAACTAGGCGAGTTGAAGCAGATTACAGAGCACTAGGCTTCCTTCCGGTATCTCTAGTGGGCTGCCTCTCCTTAAACCAGGGGTGGGCAAACTTTTTGACTCGAGGGCCACAATGGGTTCTTAAACTGGACCGGAGGGCCGGAACAAAAGCATGGATGGAGTGTTTGTGTGAACTAATATAAATTCAAAGTAAACATCATTACATAAAAGGGTACGGTCTTTTTTTTTAATAGTTTTATTCATTTCAAACGGGCCGGATCCGGCCCGCGGGCCGTAGTTTGCCCACGGCTGCCTTAAACTGTAGGCACTATTCCTTTACCAACCATTGGGATTCCTGCTGTTAAGGATGGTTCAGCAACCAGACCTGATTTCCAATGAGCCACCATAGAAAAATAACTGCCCATGAGAGAGGCACCAACATTTGTAACAGCAAAATAAGAGTGAATTATCATAACAAGAAGTGCTAGAAAAGAAAAACATGTGCACGAAAACTGTTTGAGCACTTACGGAAATTCTGATGCAACACACACACACACACACACACACACACACATCCTAAAACTCGCAGCCATGATTGTCAAACTAAAAGGAGTAGGTGAATTTTTTTAAAAGGATGATCATTACTGACACCTAATAAGCAGATTGGAAGATGAAGCACAAGGATTCTCTCTCAAAGCACAGGGCAGAAGGGCTGGAGCAGGACAGCACAAGATTTCATCACACTATCAGAATGGCACACAATTTAAAACTTATGAATTGTTTACTTCTGGAATTTTCTATTTAATATTTTTGAACTGCAGTTGACTGTCAGTAACTGAAACCATGGAAAGCAAAGCCTCAAATAAGGGGTGGGGACTAATGTATTTACAAAAATAAATGACAGGCTGGGCTTGGCCCATGGAGAGTAATCTGCAGACTCCTGTTTTAAGGGTGTCAGAATTCTCTTTAAATGCTGAGTTTTCATTTAGATTATAATCCCCCAAAATAGGAATATTCTGGATTATCTGAATAACTACTTTAAAATTAGGTGTGTGTATATTTGGTACTCTCTTTTGCATTTAGGATTTTATGAGGCATATGTTCTCCCCGCACCAGATACTTCTTACTGTGAAATACTGAAGGATAAATATTTTTACAATAGTTATAAGAGAGAACTGTATAAAGATCTCAAGGGAGCTGATTTTTTTTTAGCTCCAAACGTTAAACTTCATTACCAGTAACCATGATAGTCAATATGAAATGAAGAATTTTTTAACCATTGTTATAGACCTGTTAGATACAGTTTAGCAACGCCTCACGGATGAATTGGTCTTTATGTGATAGAGGTAGCTACTGTGTTTCTAAATCACTCCTTAAAATTGGCCTTGCAATGTGCGCAGAGCCTGATGTTGCTTTCCTCAAATCTTTTCTTCCCTTTTCCCTCAATAATACAACCCTGATGGGATCTATTTTCCAAGTTCCATTTCAGCCAGGTGTGGACGTGACACAGCGTGTGGCCAATGAGACAGCAGAGGTCACTGGGTGGTGACTGAAAAAAACTTGTTAAAAATAGAGTCAACTCAGTTGGCAAGTGCCCTTTTGTCCTCTTCCTCTCTTCCTGCATAAAACAATGCTGCCAAACCTGGAACTGGAGCAGCTACCTTTGACCTACCAGAAAGGAGAGGACACCGGGGTTGCAGAGGTGTGGCTCGGACATCGTGGACTACGGGGGAACGAGGGCAGAATAGTCCTATCTATTTTAGCCATTACTATTTGATTTTTCATCCTGTGTAGCTGGACTCAATTCCTTATCATTAAAAGGTTATACAG